AAGAAGCCTCAGGGGTTGTTGTCCTATTCTAGAACGAAATGGTTTCTAGGCTGTAGAAATTCACACTAGAGGGCATGTGGTGGTGACTCCAGGGAGACTGAGAAGAGAAATCCTAAGAGCTTTGAGCCCGGAGTCCCACCTACGGCGTGGTTGGGGCCTGGATGCTGTTCCCGCCACAACACTGCCACCCAGTGGTTTGGGGTCAAACTGCAAGAGTGGGACTCGGCCAGTAACCTGAGCCTTTCTCCCTGTCACCCAGGTCTTTAAGTGGACTGGAAGCAACTCTTTCTTTGTGAAGGGAGACTTGGATTCACTGATGATGGGCAGTGGCAGGTGAGTGTCTCAGTCCTCTCGAGTCTTGGGGTGTCTGTATTACGGGCCCTTTCCCTCTGCTGAACTGCGGGGCTAGGCTGCCCTGGATGCAATGGGAAGGCTGGTGGGCAACTCTTTGGCCGTTCCCTTCACTGCTTAGCCCCCTAGCCAACCCTGTCACATAAGCTAGTATTAGGAGAAAGGATGCATGAGTACCCCCACTGAAGTGTTACAGCTGGTGACAGTTTAGTCTGAACATAAGCAACTTTGGGAATAGAATTCTACATAGTTGGATGAAGCTAGCATCAAGAGATGGGTGTGCCTTGTTTTTCCATCAGCCCAGGAATCGCAGGGGACATAACTCATTGCAGGAGCCTCCCTTGGTGAGGACAGGGTGTGGAGAGAGAAAGGAAGAAAAGAGTTGATCTCATCCTGGTGTGACCTTCACATTCGGGGGGCATGTACCTTATCCCGAGGGCAGAGATGAAAGCATTGCTTGATTAGTACCAGGCAAATTCTTTGCTCCCCCAACTTCCTGAAAAGCTTCCATTGAGGGGCAGCTTGGCACAGAACTCATCAGCCATTGCTGATCTGCAGGAATCCAATTCCTGGCTCCAGCTGAGGTTTTCTGTCAAATGAGGGGATTAAAATGGATGCTCTAAAGCATTTGGGCTCTCAGAGTTTGCACCCTGAGATGTACTAGCTTTGGTCAAAGAACTGCCATCTTAAAAATGCTCCAAATGTTCTAAAACTGGGCTGTGGTGATGGTTGTGCCATTGTATATACTTATCAAATTAATGAACTGTTTTAAAAATGCTCTTGGCCAGGTGCATTGGCTCACGCCTGTAATCTTAGCACTTTGGGAGGCTGAGACAGGCAGATCACTTGAGGTTGGGGGTTTGAAACCAGCCTGGCCAACATAGCAAAACCCCACCTCTACTAAACATACAAAAATTAGTCAGGCATAGTGGTGAGCGGCCTGTAATTCCAGCTACTTGGGAGGCTGAGGTGGGAGAATTGCTTGAACCTGGGAGGCAGAGGTTGTGGTGAGTCAAGATGGTACCACTGCACTCCAGCCTGGGCAACAAAGCAAAACTCCGCCTCAATAAATGAATAAATAAATAAATAAATAAAATAAAAAATGCTTTTAACCTCATGGGGAACAATGTGCTGAGTCTCCAGTAATTCAGTATAAGTTGGCTTAAGGGGCAATAAGACAAGTGAACCTGGGCTGCTAACCTGGTGTGGCCAAGAGCTGATGCTGGTGGCAGAGCCTGAGGGCTTCAGCATGCAGGAGTGAGCCGCACCTAGACTGTCCTCTTCCCTCCAGTGGCCAGTTTGGGCTGTGGTTGGATGGAGACTTGTTTCACGGCAGAAGCTACCCTTGCGCGACCTTCAACAATGAGGTGCTGGCCCGGCAGGAGCAGTTCCACATCCAGGAGCTGGAGGCCTGGCTTCTCAGCTGACGGCCCTGTGGCAACAGGTACTCAGCCCTGCTCATGAATGCCACCCAGGCCTCCCTGACACCCGTGCTGTCTGAAACACAGATGGTGAAGGGCCCTGGAGTAGGCCATGGCTGCCGGCCAGACTCCTTGTGGCCTGGGGACCCAAGATACAGGTGGGAGCAGGCACTGCTCTTTTGCAGAGGTGACTCTGAAGGATTAAAAGATGCTTACACCCTACCCAAGCAGCACAGAGTTCCTCATGAACATTATCATTTTAGAAGTTCTACAACTAATTCATGTTTATAGTAGAAAAGCCAGAAGACATTTTAAAAAATTAAAACTGCCTATAATTAAACCCTCCAGAAACTCTTAACATTTTCATATCTATCCTTCCAGACAGTGTTCTATGAATATGTACATGAGTGTGTATATTTACAAAAGTGGGATTCTACTCTGTATGTGTGGAAGTGATTTTAACTTACAGAATATTGTCAAACCTTAGAAACCTGGGTTTGAGCACCGGCACTAATAAAGACTCGAGCAGCGTCGTTCTTCCTCTGGCTTGCTCTGGAATGTTGAGGCCCTTCTGCCTGCCACCAGTACCGGGTGCCTGTGACTCTGTGATTTAATTTCATGATGAAAGTATGAAAGCAGCAAATGAATAAGATGCACATTTGGACAAAAATGGCAAAACCTTTGTAGACAGGAACCTCAGGAAGGTTAAAAGAGAGGAAAGTGTATGTTTTCATGCACAACAGGGTCTTGGAAAACTAAGAAAAATTCCCTTCCCTTCCCATGCTAGTGCCTGCCTCCTGGCAAAGAAAAGATTTTTCACTATGTCGCTAGTCACCAGCTGCTGAATGAGGAAAACCAAACACCACAGAACCTGTTAAATACCATCCCCTCTCACAGACCCAACAGTGCTGAGGTACTAAGACATGTCTGGACAGATTCCCATACAAAACACATTTCCTCTGCACAGAAGGGTCAAACTGGACACACCGTAGTATGAGAAAAAGCGGTCAAGGAACACACCTTTCAAGATGGAGATACATTCACGAAGCTTTATTGCAGCTGTTTCCCTTACCAATTGAAGGAGCCAGTGATTTTAACTTCAGTTCTGTTTACATTCCCACGGTAACCACGTTCAGTAACTCTCTAGAGGCTAAGCTGTTAAAATTTCCATTTTTATACAAATAGTGAAGATGTTTCTTTTTTTTTTTTTTTGGAGACAGAGTTTTGCTCTTGTCCCCAGGCTGGAGTGCAGAGGCCCAATCTCAGCTCACTGCAATCTCCGCCTCCCAGGTTCAAGCAATTCCTCTGCCTCAGCTTCCCAAGTAGCTGGGATTACAGGCGCCCACCACCAAGCCCGGTTAATTTTTGTATTTTTAGTAGAGATGGGGTTTCATCATGTTAGCCAGGCTGGTCTCAAACTCCTGATATCAGGTGATCTGCTTGCCTCTGCCTCCCAAAGTGCTGGGATTACAGGCATGAGCTACCTCCCCTGGCCAAAATGTTTCTTAAGAAAAACAGTAACCTTGTAAATAGCGTAGAGTTCTTATAATGAAACAGTTGCACAGAACATAAAGTGCAGCTGCCTTACATGTAACAAAAGATGCATACAAAATAGATTCAAGTTGTTTTGCAGATAGCACAATGATACAATAATAGGATTACAAAATCCCAGAGTAAACCACAATGATTTATAGGTAAGATACACAGAAATAAGATGATTTTAACAGAAAAAATGACATTCTTAACCTTAGGCCTGAACACATGTCTGACCCCTGTAGAGGCACCCTGGCTAAAACAGGTATGACCTACTGCCATGCCTGACCTCACCTGTGCGTTGCTGAGCCCACGTGAACAAATCCTCCCCGATACAGCACCACGGTAGGCGTGAGAGGAGAAGGGTTTTAACTATTCTCTTATGAATTATAACCAACCCTTATTATTTACTGATGGATGGACGGGGGGGTGAAGTGATCATACAGGATGGCAGACATTCCAAGTACTCTTCACCCCAATGTGGACGGAACAGAATCTGGCTACACAGTGGCCAGTGACATACTGCTGGGAAATCTGCTGGCCTGTGGTCTGAGTTCCCCTACTTGCTTGGGGGGCCCCTCACTCCCAGTCTGCCAGGGAGGCCTAGTCCAGGGGGCATCAGAGCAGAAGACATTCGGGGCTCATGGCTGCCATCCCCACTGGCTTGCATCTTCAGCACCCTCTGGCCACCACCAGCTTTGGCTCTAACTGCAGACTTTGTTCTTGGTGAACTGTTATAGAACTGGGAATGAGATGTGCCCTGGGTACAGAGGCACTACCCTACCAAGGTGGTACCCACTCCACTGCTGGGAAAATCAAGTTACCTAGGGGATCCTGGAACCCACTGGGTGGTCACTAATTTCAGCACAGGCAGTGCAGTGTTTGCTCTTAAACATACAAAATGCACTGAACCAGAACCAGTAAAAACAAAGTCCCAGGTCTGAGGAGCTCTGAGGACGGTGCTTGTGATGGCCTCTGGCCAGCTCTCCAGGATACTCAGAGAGCAGGTCAGCAGAGGCCTTCTCCAGGCTGGGCAGTGGGAAGGCCCTCTGGACCAGAGGAGTGAGTATTCAGGAGACAAAGACACTGCTCAGGTCTGGAGCCTCCACTGAGCCTGGGCACAGCCTGGTTTGGGGAATCCCTCTGTCACTGGGGATAGGGATCTCTCAACAAGAGGCGCCTTCATGCTTCTCTCACGAGGCGGCCAGAGCTCTCAGATCTTCCCCAAAACCTAATCAGGCCTCTCTAGCATGTCGGAGACCACTCTTGGCCATTGTCTCCTACCATTTACCCCAACCTGGCAGCTTGTAGGGGGCTAGAAGGGTGACTTGAAGAGGACTATCCTCAAACTTGAGGTGACAGGGAACTCTTCAGAGGGGCAGGATTTGCTGTTTTGTTTTTAGCCATGTTTGTCTATGATAATGTCAACTTCTAATTCCAATTTGTACCCTTGTCTCATTTCTACATTAAAAACAAAAAAAATCATCTATCATAAAAGTTCAGAGTAAGCTGGGTGTGGCAGCACGTGCCTGTAGTCCCAGCTACTTGGGAGGCTGAGGCAGGAGAGTCATTTGAGCCCAGGAAAGTTCGAGTCCAGCCTGGGCAACAAAACAAAACCTTGTCTCTTTAAAAAAAAAAAAAAAAAAAAAAAGAGTTCAGAGTAGATAAAAGAGTTGTTATTCTAAGAAAATAGACTACCAAAGGAGAAAAGCTTTAATTAATATTAAAAATAGGCAAGGTAATGCTTTTCATATATAATAAGATTTGCCTAATACCATCTTATTTCTTTGATTAAAAATTACTTCTCTTCAGCATGTGTGTACATTCAAAATACAAAATTAAAGCATGTGTTGTCATCAAATTTGCAGAATTCTATGACTGAAGCCCCTAAGTTAATTGTGTGGGGGAGGGCATTTGTAAACAACCACCTGCAGATATTATACCGGGTCATCCTTAAAAAGCTGGAGCCTGCTTTTGGGTGCTTCTCGGAGGCGAGCTGGAGTTTGGGCTGAGGCCCTGTAGTTCCATTCATCTTTCTGAGGTGTTATGAGTGGGGCTACAACATCGCCATCCTATTAGGAAGAGAGAGAAAAATGGAACAGAGAAGAGCCAGTCTGTATCATCGTATTTCTGAGGGAGTCTCAGGTGCACACATCCTTGTCTTGCATACAGATTGCTTCCAGGTATACTCACTCTAGGGAAACTCCAAATTACATATGCCCTGTGCTTGGGACAAATTAGAAACACCACAGCCTTACTCAAGAGGAGCCTTCATGAAAACAGCCACTGGCCTTTGCAGGGATGACTGGAAGAGCACACCCCTGCCCACCTCTATGGCCTCCTTCACACACCTTCATGGAGCACAAGCCCTGTCCTGTTTTCCCAGGAGAAAGATGGGCTGCAATGAACCCCTGGCTTCTCTCACGCCTGGTCCCCTCTGCAATAAATGGCCCAGGTCTACAAGATGGCAAGGAAAGGGAGGAAGGACAGTATGCACCTGCAGATTTTAAATTTTTCTCTGCATCAAAGCTCTAACGTTGGCCCCATCAGCACAGGCTCCAGACAAAGGAGCTCCTCCACCCAAAATGAGGAAAAGACCCAAATCGAGGTGATACAATGACCTGAAACCAGAGCAGTAAGAAGCAAGGCCTCCTAACACCCAACTCTATGCTAAACTGTTCTGAGCTTGTGGGTAGATCCTCTTTGGTTACAAGATAACACAGGATCTTAGGGAGCCTCTGTTGTACCAGGAATACAATGCTGGTAGGAGGATTCGTGCTTTTCATCTGCCTATTTGCTCTCAGACCCATTCTTCACTCCTCCTCTCCCTACTCTGTTTCATAGGAGCTACTCCGGTAAATTACATTTTTCAGTTCCCATGCCTGTTGGTTTCCAGTTAGGTCTGGTCAATGGGAGGCGCTGGTGGGAGGCTGGAGATGAGAGGAGGGCAGAGAAGTCAGGTTCTTTCTCTCCCTACCTCCTCTGGAACGAGTGGCAGTGGCAGTGACTCTTCTGTGGTTCCAGCTTCTGTAGATGGCCCCAGCTCCTGGACTCCCACCTGCTCCCTTGGTCTGTCCTATCCTAGAGGTGGTAGCAGCTTCCTGCTATTGAATCACTGTCCTCTGTGCTCATTTAGCTCTGCCAAAACTTTTGTATCTCATCCCCCATGTTAAATTTCTTCTGTTGAATTACACTGTATTTGACTTGACAGAACCATTAAAAGCAGTTTTTAAAATTTTTTATTTATTTAATTTTAATCTTGCTCTGTTACCTAGGCTGTAGTGCAGAGGCATGATTTTGGCTCACTGCAACCTCCACCTTCGGGGTTCAAACGATTCGCCCACCGAAGTCTCCCAAGTAGCTGGGATTATAGGGTGCACCACCATGGCTAATTTTTGTGTTTTTAGTAGAGATGGGGTTTCACCATGTTGGGCAGGCTGGTCTCGAACTCTTGACCTCAGTAAAGGTAATCATTCAGGCTGAGTGTGGTGGCTCAATCCTGTAATCCCAGCACTTTGGGAGGCCAAGGCAGGCAAATTGCTTGAGGTTGGGAATTGAAGACCAGCCTGGGCAATGTCATGAGACCCCATCTCTACTAAAAATACAAAAATTAGCTGGGTGTGGTGGCGCATGCCTGTAATCCCAGCTACTTGGGAAGCTGAGGCAAGAGAATCACTTGAACCCGGGAGGCGGAGGTTGCAGTGAGCTAAGACAGTGCCACTGTACTCCAGCCTGGGCAACAGAGCTTTAAAAAAAA